GGGAAATTTTGGGGGGAAAGGGGGGGCCCCCCCCCCCCCCCCCCCCCCCCCCCAACCATACCAGTACATAATATCGATTTTCTACCAATTCTCCCAGCAAATAATAATACAGAGAATACAGTAGAAAGACAAAGCAGTCGACGAATAAGTGTATAATGATAATACAACTCAAGATTTAAACAAACAATACGCAACTAAAAATCAGCGAACTAAGACGACTGGCGAGTTCGACCTGAATGACTTATTCATGAACATGAACGCTAATTACGTATTACTACGCAACCGAAGAGAAATCATTTTCCGTCTAATTCGATTCCCTCAACCGGTGGAAAATATATGCTTCTTCAATTGTGTCAGGTGAGTTTCTATTCATTGTTTCTGGTAACAGTAAGGCAAATTAAATATAACACCAGGTAACTGAATTGCAAAATTATGAATGGAAAATATCCCGATTATCTTAAATTTCTTATGTTTACAATCTCCAATTTCAACTACTACTCTCTGTCTAAGTTCAGAAATCAACACTTCCATGTCTCGAACCAATGAAAAGAACGTTTAGATATGCGGTTCACTATATATAGTTCACTTTGGAATTCTTTACCCCAATGTCTTAAATTGTCTGATTCCATTTTTCATTCTATTTTATTTTTCATCAATATGTTCATACTTGCATCTCTTTTATAATGTTGTAAAATGTCTTTTCATCATATTCATGCTATTTCTGCCTGTATTTACATATTAATTGTAGTTATAGAGTAGATCAGATTATTATAATATGCTGGTATTTGTTAAGGTCCATTTGATATTATTGCCGTCACCCATGTCCGTCGGTCCGCCTGTCCGTCCGTCCGTCCGTCCGTTCGTCGGTCCGTTCACAATTGCTCGTAAACACTCTACAAGACACAAATCTTGACGGAATTTGACAAAACTTGGTATGAGTGTTCGTAATCACCCAAAGATGAACCCTATTGAAAATCAGAAGATTCGAAAAATATATTCAGTATAAGCCCTTGTTCTTGAAAACGCGTTCAATTTTTAGCTTGTAAACACTCTAGAAGAGACAACTCTTGATGAATTTTAACGAAACTTGGCATGAGTGTTCATAATCACCCAAGGATGAACCCTATTGAAAATCAGAAAAATCGAAAAATATTTAGTATGAGTTATTGCCCTTGTTCTTGAAAACGCGTTCAATTTTTAGCTCGTAATCACTCTAGAAGGCACAATTCTTGTCTGATTTTGATGAAACTTGGTGTGAGTGTTTGTAATCACCCAAGGATAAACCCTATTGAAAATCAGAAGAATTGTAAAATATTTAGTATGAGTTATTGCCCTTAGCCATCAACAAAAGCAATAAGAAAGAAAGGAAAATTATTGAAGCCATCCAAATAAGACATAATAAGACATAATCCGTCAGAGATCCTGGAGCTTTCATTCCCAGAGCGTATGGTCACCTTATCAAACATTAGAAGTTAGATACTTTAATTGGGTTCTTAATCCTTACATATATATATGCATGTTAATCTTTGTAATATTATTCATTGCTTGATAAAGACCAGAAACACTGGTCGAAACGTCGCTCAAAAAAAGTTAGTAATTGTAATCCATAACAATTTTTTTCACTATTAGATCGAATACCGATTTTCAACTAAATCTGAGATGAGAACCAATAATTATTGACTGATTTGTTCGTTCAGGCATAAATTGGTCTGATTGTAGCTCATGATGTTGACCTGTATAGTAGTGGCGGGTGTCGTGCGCGAAGCAGACCATGTCTACTATTTTAAAAACACATGATGGTTTTTCCTTTGGAGGAGTCTACTATAACTCTCGATTTTGCCATACTTTGAACGAGATTTTGATTAACGGAAGTGTTTTGCTTGTACCGATTTTTATTAAATTTTTGCAAACAAAATCAATATTCAAACACGTGACAACAAAAATACCCTTGCAATTCTTTTTCCAATTTCTCTAACATATTACCAACATATATCATTCTTGTAGATGAAAAAACATATTTTGGTTGTTCTGTTTTTAATAACCTGTAAAACCATTATTCTAGGTTACTAGTACTGTAGCACTTTTGTATAGTACAGTTTCGTCATAAACCATGTTAGATATCAGAGAATTTGATGATTATTCTAAATCTTTCACAGATTAGGTCCTGTAGTTAAATTAGTTAATATTTGTTAATCTCTAAAAACATTACAATTGGTTAAGCAAAGTTTCAAGGGACAGATTCGCTATCTGTTGAAACAATTGTACATTCACAGTCGAACTTTTGAGCCTTAAATTCCATTTGTGTCCATTTTGCAGGGATAAAGTGACATTCTTTTCTAGTACTGATTATTTAATATACATGTATTCAAGACCCAAATCAATGGCGAACCTGTCCCTTTAAGACCATATCCTGTTATCTTCGGAAGATATCGCAGATCTTTAAGACATCATCTTGTTATCTTTACAAGATATCGCAGACCTTTAAGACATCATCTTGTTATCTTTACAAGATACCGCAGACCTAAAAACCGAGACCATAAACCAGTTTCTGAATGTTCAAATCTTTACTACAATAGTAGTTAATGAGACGCTGTTCAACTTTCTTCATATAGTTTACAATTTTACTTGCTTACTTGCATTTTAATTGTCTCTGGTAATTTTCTGTTCTTGGTTTCTGGTAGTAATAAGGCAAGTAATCCAGCAGCTATTGCTGCACTACCAAATATAATTAACGGTAGCGCTTTTCCGACTTTACCATCTACTATAAAGCCCTAAACAGAAGATATGCATGATAATGTCATATGTAGGCCTACCAATAATGTTAAGCATTAAAAAGGAAAAAAGAACCATGTTTTGCTTACAATACATTATTCCTTATTATTATATTCCGCCATGAATAAAGTTGGTAGTGAAACGGAAGGTTATTTTTGTATATATTACATTATGTTGATAGTGTAAACGGTTAACTAAATATTTAGAATCGATAAGTATAATCTGGAATCCGCCACAATCAAAGTTGGTAGTGAAACATTGGAGTTTCAAATACATTAGTATACATAAGAAAATATCAAACCATGTCAGCAATATAAGGAGAAATAATTCCACCAATCCGGCCAAGAAATGAGCTGGCACCAAGTCCAAAATTACGGGCTTCAGTTGGGAAGAGCTCACATGAAAATATGTATATTACTGCAAATGCAGCTGATACACCAAATCGTCCCTGGCAGAAGGTTGAATATTTCATACCGGTGATTGTTACTGTACTGCTAAATATTTGTAATCATTTCTGACAGATGCCAGTGGGCGTATGTTACCTTGCCGGGCAAGCTATCTTTGAATAATTATATGTCAGTTGTAATGAAGTAGGTTACGGTAATGATGCAAAGGTAATGGTGAAAATAATACAGTTTGTCCACAACTTCATACATAAACGCTCATAATTAAAACAAGAATAACTCCCTCTACCAAAATGACAAACCCCTAAATTCACAATATGAAAAAAATTATATATTGTTTAAGCAACTGCAAAAGAAAGTAACTGCTAGATGGTGTCAAACGATGGTCATATTTTAAACTAATGCCAATTGAGATGGCTGATGAAGTGCATGTTGTAGCATAATAGACTATGTGTACATTAAAGATGAAATTACTAAAATAAGCTACACCTACCTATGTTTTGGTATATCAAGAATAAAATTGGAGAGATGAGATATCATGGCACAAGTTATCAGTGGAAGGCATAGTGTAAAGTATACATATTATGTTACTTTTGTGTTCGGGATTCTTTTTGTACCATATTATACGCGGACAATATATATGGCGTTTCTAAGGCTTTGGGGACCAGAAAAGAGACTGGCTCGGCTTTGTTCCCACCCTCCACCCCACACACACTTTCATTTTTTTTAATCATTTTGCATAGCGAAAGTATGGCCATGAACGTTTTGAACGTATCGGTCAGTGGATACACACAAACAATCCTATCGAAACATCTGTGTATCTGATCGAAAGATCATATCGTGACACCCTAAATTGTCAACTTGTGAAGAGATTGCAAACGAATGCAACTAATCGTATGCGAACATATTGACTTGCATCATTAACAAGTGATGTCAGAGAAATGTCACCAACTAAGAATTGCCAATAAAGGTATATTAATCGACTGTATCATTTATCTACAATTTTAATGCATTAAATGTTCCGACAGAAGTGACACAATACCAATTTCCCAATCGGTTATTATTTTTCCCTCGTGCATGTAATGATAATTAACCCCTCAATAGTAATTTCCGCATGGGTGAGTTTTTTTCAACAGCTGTAAATTTAGGTTGTCATCGTAAGTTTATGTTTAAACATTCTATTTTGTAAAAATTCAGTGATATGTTTAGCTGAAATAATTGGCCAAGGAAATAGAGATCACTTTGGAGTCTCGATAAACATTTGTGTCTTGTCTCAAAGAGAAGGTGACGATTTTCACGACTATTCAACAAGTATTATATATATATATACATGTACGTAGATTTTCATAAGAAAATACCAGAAATAATTGAATTAACAGCGAAAATTAAAAAAAGCCACTTTAAACCAACTACTATGGAATAGAATGGCAGGTGGTACACTGTCTTATTGATTGAGTCTTTTGTTTATGCCACATGGTTTCCCTATATTAGGCTTTGAGAGCATTACGTAAATTAGTTTGCTTTGTCAAGAAAGTCAAGAAGCTGCGCTACAACAGATGACAAGGCCAAGATAATAGAACATTAAAATGAAATGTTTGTTCATGCAGGCTAAAAACAGGACTAAATCTTGAATATGAACGAAAATAATACCTAGAAAGATGGCGAAATGCAGAAAAACAATGATTTCCAATGAATCGTAACTATCCAATTTGTCTTATCAGATGATTTCCAAAACGATAATAACATGTAAATCTATATTTTATTATGTTAATGATTGAGCTAATTGTATATTCTCTTCTTGTGTTCTCACGTCGCTTTCTTCGTAGGTCGACTGTACTTTTATCGGTGTCCTACAAAGGCAAACGAGCCGTTATGATTAATTCATACTTAAACGACTATCTATCCTGTGAACTTTTTTTTCTATGTCCTTTTTCAAAACAAATGTTTTCTCCGTTCTACATAAAGTATTAAAATTGAATTTTGTAAAACATATTCGTAAACTTAAAAAGATAGTGGACCACAGACATAAACGCCCACTACGGCATGCGTATGGTAAATATTCAACATTTTGGGACAAAGGCAATAACTCTAACGGTCGAAAATACCTCAAATTTGAACTTGAGAAGAAATCGTATATATTTGAATATATTTTATATTAGATATATATTATGTATGAAAACGATATAAAAATGCGAAATGGACACACATGTTCATGTTGTTGGCCGTCCACAAGATTTCTGTCACTGCCAGATAAGCAAATTCACTGCTGAAAACTAACTCCTAACTTTCAGCTATTTATTATCTCAGGCGAAAAGTTTTACTTGTGGGCGAACGTTTGTTTGTGGAGAAAAGACTTACACGTGAGAAGTAATTTATATTTAAACGTCAGGATTTACCTTCCGAATGATTTTGCATCTTCAATTGTGTCTGGTAAATTTCTATTCATTGTTTCTGGTAACAGTAAGGCAAGGAGACCAGCAACAACAGAACATATTCCAAATACTATTAAAGGTAAGGCAAGTTCTAGTTCACCTTTTAATAACTCTCCCTGGAAATAGATAATCATTTACATATATCATTTACATTTTTTCAATTTTTCTCGCAAACTCACGGCGGAATATGGGAAATAGTTTGACAAAATTTAGATGCCAGTGGATAGAATCTTGTGTGAGACTTGTACCCAGCCACAGTAAAATCTTTAGAAATGTGTGTCTGTCCTGTAATATTTCATTTTTAGGGAATATTTAATATGTAAAAACTTGATGAATATCGACATAGCATGCACTTCACAAATTTGAATGAACATCCTCTATAACATTAACACTTTATTAGGTCCAAGAAGATTTATAGGATAACCGTTATGATCATCTTTGATTTAGTTCATTGCATATTAGCATCACAATTATTGTAAACATAACTTTAACCCTGTGCCAGTGCCTTATATTGAATAGTAACTGGTTACTCTTCAATCACCCTAATCACGAATTAGA